TAACTATCCTTGGATCGGCCAACAGTAGCTCAAAATATCACTTCCGCGATTTAATGGTCGAAATCCATTCACGATCGAATTTCCTTTAGTCGCGCGAATTTAATTTCCCCTATTAGCCTTTCCCTAATGGTTAGCATTCCCAGGAATGATCAGTTCCGGGTGAGAACTGACTACGAGTACATTCATAAAATCCAGTATTTCATAAATCCCAAATGGACTAATTTTTTTTCAGGATGTCACACCCGCCCACTGCATTTCATATGGAGCAGAAGCATCGGTCCGGCCTCTACCACGACTCGACTTCCAGATCAAACACCGGGATCGGATTCCGTTAAAACGAACTACGTCCACCACTGATCCCCATTGGGTGACGACAGATTAATTGATCAAGCATTCAGTTTCCGTTAAAACGGACTTCGTCCACCACATATCTCCTACTAGGTGACGGTAGATTAATTGATCACGCAAACACATCAATCACTCATGATCATTTCATTATCTTGCATTTTAGCTGATGCAGACATGATCCGTGCTTGCACATGACAATTTATTGCATCTTTCACATGCACAATGCCAGAATACTTCCCATGCGGCCATATGATCATGCCAAACATAATGACCACATATTAACTTGCAGAAACCATCTCTTTTGACAGTGAATAAGTTGTAATCAATCCAATTGACATTTCAATCGTAATTCTTGTCCTTTCAAATAATCAAATACGAGCAACCCAATAGAACTATCAACTGGATAACGTTCCAAGGTGAACCATCGTTTATCCACTAAAAATAACTCATTCTTATTCAAAGTAATTCCTGATTTACTTTGCAAAAATAATACTTTTCGTCAAAATCATTCATTAATTAAAACTCAATTAACTAATGAATTCTCATCCAAAATGATTAATTATTTATTGCCCAAAAACTAATTAATCATTTCCATTTCCAAAAGGAATTAATTATTTTTCTCTCACAAAATAATTAATTTCCAATTTTCGAAATTCAATTATTACTCAAAATAAATAATTAATTATCATCCCATAATAATTAATTAGTTTCCAAAAAATATATAATTCCATAAAAATAATTAACCAATTAACTTTCCACATAAATAAAAATTTCTTACTCACAAATAATTGTTCCCAATAATTTCTAAATTTATTTAATAATTATTATTTACTAGAAATAAATAATTATTAATAAATAGATAATTATCAATAATATCCAAAAATACATAATCACCATTATTTAATACAAAACCACCATTGCTTTAATTAAACCACACTTATAAGCAAATTAGCCATAGCTCAAGACTAATAGCATAATTTAACATAAACCAATTTAATTCAATAATTAGAACTAAATAGAGATTAAGTATAATTAAGCCACCACAATCACAATTAGCTATCACAATCCATTGTTTTAGTAGTATTAACAGCTAGACATACAATTTTATGAGTTTGACATTCGCTGGATCTGTAAACTCAAGGGTGCTTAAGAACTGTGCTCTGGTGATGGTGAATGAAAGTTATTGTAAAGTTTCTAGTTACTCCATCTTTAGTTGTACTTTGTTTCTCTCTCTTTAAGCATGCTTAAATTAATTTTTGGAATGGAGTATTGATCGTAGGTGCTTTTGGGATACAACCCTCCTACCATATTAAGATCGTGCATTGAAAACTATAAAAAAAATTTCAATTAATCTCTCAACAAATGACTAGGATTACTCTTCAATGGGGGACTCTAAAATTTCTTTCTTTTTTTTATACGACTTGAGATCAACATGCACTATCCTTGGATCAATGGCAAGTCTCCACAATCTCAAGGAGATCTTCACTCGTGCCACTGAATAAGTCCAAAGGGATGTTTGAGGACGGATTCGAATACATCATTGGGAGCACGAGATGGAAGCAAGGTCGCCGCTGCAGCATCACCTCCGGGGCCTCGATAATTTTCTCAAGACCCACTGGCTGGAGCAAAGACCAAGCTAGGAATGGCTTCCGCCGGTCACCCATTTGCAGACTATTCTTCTTCTCTCACCGAGAGCCCAATGCGAAGTAAAAGATATCATTGGGATGACTGAGTTCAGTTCACATTCACAGTTTGAATGAATGAGCAGGATTTTCTAGTACAAACTAAAAGTTATCCTTTCTTTTAGGGTGGGTAAGTTTCAAATTAGGAAATTAGAACTTATCCTCTTAGAAATGGTTCCCAGTTTTTGGAGTTTGAAATCTACCATGCTTGTCTTGAAACCAATCTTGAACCTATTTTATTTTTCTGGTCCGGTAGGTCTATCCAAGAACGTTTTTTTTCTTTAATTCCTTTTTCTGATTCATTTTGTACAGCAAGATAATATGAGGAAAAAAACAGTTTAAAGTAAAAGATAAACAAGGGCGAAGATGAGTCAGAACAAGCAAGGTTTGGGAGGCTCGAACGAGTGAGGGCGAGCCACAAACGAGCAAGGAGGGTGAGTCGCGAGCAAGAGAGAGTGGTACAGTGTGTGAATGAGGTTAGAGAGAATTGAAAAAGAGAGAAAAAAAAAGATGCCAAGAGAAACTAGGCTTTTTAGGCTTTATGTGTAAAATATGGGTTTTTGACCCAGTCAAGAAAAGAAAAAAGGAGAGTTGAACGGTAAAAAGAAGAGGAAAAGAGTGGAAGCTTCAGCATAAACTAAGAGCTTTCAGGGAGAGAGGAAAAAGAAAGAAAAAAAAGAAAGGAAAAGAAAAAGGAGGAGATAAAGGGAGAAGAAAGAAGCACGTTTGGGCAAAAGATAAGAAGAGAGAGGAGAGAATAAGAAAAAGAAAGGAAAGAGAGAGGGCTTCATGCATTCTCATCATGGGAGCCTCGCCAAGCCAACTCAACACCGTATCGCTTGTGTCCCTCATTTGTTCAATCGGAGTAGTTTCGCATTTAGGGCTTGAAATTCATAATTATTGGAGATTCGAGCGGCGAAGTCCAATTTTTGAATCGTTGAGCTGCGTATTTATATAGAAATGATAGTTTGTGGTATTGTGGAGCTGTAGGATCTTACAGATCTTAATTTGAGTTTACGGTTTGCCCGTAACAAAATTTTAAAGTTTCTTGCGCGCGATGATCAGTGCATGTCCAGTTAATTCGGGGCCATATTTCGTTGGTTTTTTGCTTGATTTTGGAAGGGTCAAGTAAGGGTTCTTGTAGTACGTTGAAAGAGCTTCTTTTGACTACAAGTATGTTTGGAACGAGATTCAGTGAAAAGAGTTAAGGTGTGACAAAGTTTCGCGCTCAAGCTCCGTGTAACGAACAGCTTGAATAATCGCTTTGGGGTATGCGATTCGTTAGTGCGTAGGAGTGGCATAGTATAGCCATTTCGTAGTTGAAGTCGTGCGTTATTCAATTTTAACGTTGTTTCTCACTTATTTGATAGGGTCGCGAGTTCAACGATTCGAGTAACGCTTGTTTGGTCATTGTCGTTCCGAGGTGAGTGGTGCTATCTTTTCTAAAAATTTATAAACTCATGTCTTCAAGATGATAAAGATATGATATTATGAGTTATGAATAAGCATGTTTGTTGCATAAAATTTGGTTTGAGCATCTATTACATTTTCGTATTTGTGAATGGTACGAGAATTGTTTGGTGGAAACTTGTATTTTGTTTGATGAACAAAGTTAAGAAGTATTATATACTTTGGGTTTGCAAAACCTTCTTATGAAAAGCTGTTGACTTTGAGTACGGTTTATGGAATGATATCGATTTGGGAAATGCTTTATGACATGTATTTGATGTGATTCGATTTGTAAAACCAGTTTATTGGACGAGCCTTGAAATGATTTGAGAATATTTTATTAAAAGTATTTATAGCGGATGAGTTGAATAGCGAAAGCTTTTAGTGATATATGAAATGACTTTTGAATTTGGCTTTGTAAATACGATGGAGGATGTTGTTATGGGTTGGTATTGATGCTTAATATAGCTGTGAGCCCAGTGAGGGACTTGTTGGTATACGCATACTAGTATAAAATATTCTTGTGAGTCGAGCCACCGGCTAATAATAGTTGGAGACCTAATCAAGGGAGGAATCTTGGTCGCCTTGTCATGGGGCGTTATTTGTGACCATGGCTAGATATTTGAGCTGAGTTTAGTCAATAGAGTGGACCATTGACATGTGATTTGGATTTGGTCAATGGAGGAGACTATTGACATGCAATTTGAGATTAGTCGATTGAATGGACCATTAGTGTGTAGTTAAATGAGATTAACCAATGAAATAAACCATTGATAATTGATATTATTATTGATTCATACGCTACTTTTGATATTTTGTGTATATAGTACTCTTGCTTTTGGGATTGATAAATAGTGATATCGTGTTTATAAATGTGCATAGTGAATGTTCGATCCACTTTGAAGCGATGCATTACTCACTGAGCTGTGGTTGTTCACCCCTTTATTTTCTAATTTTTTTTAGGTTCTTTCAATGAGCGATAAGTAGTATGAGAGTGATAGCGAAGATGGGACTTTTGAGAGTTGGATTTTGATGGTTTGAGGTTGTGTCTTTCGGATGGAAGGACGATCGTGTCATCCCCATTCGTAATGATTTTGGGGTGTGACATTATGTAACTGATTCCAAATTTAATTCGGTTTCTGGTGATTCTTACTCAAAATTGGAAATCAGACCGGTTTTCAGGATGATCCAATTCATTTCCTAGGTAGAACCGATTTGATTGCCCAGCCTCAGTGCAAACTACTTTAAGGCGGCGGTTTGGCTGCTCTGACCGACTGAAAAGCTAATAACAGAGTGGACAACACGACTCCTGAAGCAGGTGAGACACAGGCGACCGCATGACCTTGAAAGGAGCTTCTTTCAAGAGGATGACCTCCCGTCGTCCGAAGGGTTTTGAACCGCCCCAGTCTGTTCATTTTTTCAAGTTCATACTCTCCTCCGATGCCCTTCCTAGCAGAAAGCTTGTGAGCATACCCTCCCTCCCTCTCTCTCTCTCTCTCTCTCTCTCTCTCTCTCTCTCTCTCTCTCTCTCTCCAAGTGATTCTTGATTTTCTTTTTTATTCTTCTTTGCCCACCAGCTGCTCGATGTATTTCTTGATTGTGAAAGATCCTCCTTTCTGGCTAATTGTGTGACTGAGTTGACAGTTGTATGCGACCAAGTGAGCAAAATACATCCATGCCACGCAAGGTGTTTCACTTGCAGGAAAACTGTTCTGTTTTTCAGTTTTTAGTCTCTGGACTAGTCCTTGGATTGAAACCCGCATGACTTTGACCCATTAGAATATGTTCCTGGATTTTTTTTTCTTTTTCCTAACAATGTTGAATTTTGTTCAGGAAATGACATTAATTTACCAGAATTAATGTTGAACTGAGAAGAATTTTCTTGTGAAGTAGAGTAGAATTCATGCTATTGCTTGCTCATATGCGAATCATGTACTGAAGCTTCTTCTATGTGAATGTGAATTTGAGCAAAATGTAGGGCCGGTAATTCTTTTTCCCCCTTAGAATAATACCAGTATCCAAGCCTGCCGTGTGACTAATTCCCCGGATGCAGGCAACCCAAGTTACTCTAATTGGGTGAGGTAGGTACTTCTTATCACAATCTAATTCCCTTGTGTAACATTGAGAATTACTGAACACGGTAATTGCATTTGCATGTCACATACAAAAAGTTGTGGATGGAGTTGTAGATATTTTTGCGGGGAGCCTGAAAAGAAGTTGTAAAACTTACTTGTTCACTACCTGAATCCAAAAATTTCTGGTGACAATGTTAACTAAGGTTGTGGTTCACCATGCTATTGAGTCTACTTGCTTTGGGCAAGAACCTTAATATCATAAATTTAAGTGAAAAAATGATTGAACTATTTATTGAATCTGCTTTTCTTTCTTCTGCTCAATAGGAGATACCAAAGAAGTTTCTGCAGAGACATGGTAGTGACCTCCCTGGCTCAGTGTTTCTCAAGGTTCCAAGCAGTACAACCGTTTGGCCAGTGGAGTTGGAGTGGAGTGGTGGCATGGCTCGGCTTGGCCAAGGTTGGCAGAAGTTCACAGACCATTACTCCATTGGTTTTGGCCAATTCCTAGTTTTCAGATATGAACGGAGCTCTGTCTTCCATGTTGTGATCTTTGACACGAGTGCTTCAGAGATCGAATATCCCACCGATCCTGTGATCATGGACAAAACAGAACCAGAATGTGAACTTCCTCCGCTCAAGAAGGAAGAAACTGATGATATCTCAGCCACAATCTCAGAGGATTGTCGGCCTAGCCCAAAAATTAGGAAAAAATTAAAGTCAGCATTGGCTTCGGCTTCTCGAAAGGTGAACTCTGGTATGGGTAGTGAAAATGATGATTATTCCTATGAACACAAATTTCCCAGTAACATTTGATTCAGTTCATTGGCTCTTATCCTTTCTGAATTGTATCATCTAATTTTGGATTTTAAAATGAAATATTTTTCCTTTTATTAACTATCTACAGGCATGATCAGAAAGTGTGCAAGCAGAGCAAGCCCTGCTACGCTGGTGCTCGTAGATGTGATGTGCCATGTCCTGCTGCTCTTGAAATGGCACGTGATTTCAAATCGAAGCATCCCACGTTCATAGTCGTGGTGTACCCTAGTTGCATTGTTTCCTTAGTTCATGAAAACCTTGGAGAGTACATGTTTTGGGTTATTATTTTTCCTTATCCTCCTACTTAGAATTTTTATGCCTTGACATGATCATGGAACCAATTTACTTTGAGAATGCTAATGTCGAATATCGGTTTGTAAAACATTTACGCAGAGTGTACCAGTCAAATTTATGCGGACTTATATCAAGAGAATCGTGCAGGTCGTGACACTTAAGCACAAGAAGGATACGTGGTCGGCGAAGTTAACCAAGTTTCCGGGGGACCAAGGAAAGTTATCTCAAGGTTGGTTCGTGTTTGCAAGAGCAACTTCTCTGTGTGAAGGGGACGTCTGTGTGTTCGAACTGACTAACCAGAGTCCCACCGTGCTTGAAATCTTAATTTTCAGGAGTTCTGATTACACTTAGGAGTGGTTTATCACCACCATTATGCTTGGCATCGTTTTGGAAAATGATATCAGTTGTGTTATAAGCTGGACATACAATGGTACCAAGTTTTTCGTTCTTGTTTTTTTGTCTCTTTTTGACGAACGATGGATCTGTAAATTGAAATGTCTTACGAACTGAGCTTCAGCGATGGTGAATGAAGGTGATAGTAAAAACTTCTAGCTACTCTTATCTTCTTTAGTTGTTTCTTGTTGTTCTCTTTCTAAGTTTTGATCATACTTGAAATACAAAAAATACAATATAGTGCTTAAGGGATACAACCCTCATATCATATAAAACCATGTATTGAAAAATTACAAACTTTTCTCAATTTTTTATTTTTTGATCGCAAACTTTTCTCCATTCATCACTTTGCAAATGCCTTGGGATGACTAACGGACCTATGGCATCAATTAGTTAATCATAACCTATACTAATCCTTTTCTCATTTCTAGTGATAGATTTTGAAAGGCTTCCTCAGGGCATACCAAAGAGGTTTCTGCAAAAGCATGGAAATGACCTCTCGAGCTTAGTGTTTTCTTAAGTTTCCAGATGGTGAAATTTGGCCAGTACAGCTAGAATGGAGTGATGGCAGGCTTTTGCTTGGGGAAGGATGGCAAAAGTTCGTAGATCATTGCTCTATTGTTCCTGGTCAATCGATGCTCTTTAGATGCGAACAGAACCCCACCTTCCAAGCTGTAATTTTCGATACGAGTTCACCAGAGATTGAATATTCCACGAATCCCATAATTGGTGATAAATTGAAAGCTGAATGCAAATTTTCCCTGCCCAAGAAGGAAGAAACTGATGATATCTCGGTTAAAATCCTGGAGGATTGTCGGCTAAGCCAAGTAAAGAGTGAAAAACCGAAATGGGTTCCTGGGAAGGCGAATTCTGGTCTGGTTGGCGAAGATACTAACAATTCTCGTGAACGCATAACATTTACGCGCTCTCGATCGGGGAGGCAGATAGTTCTCAAGTTCAAACAAGAACATACCTCTGATTAGTTCTTCAAAAAATTGTGAAGGTAGTGACTGTGATCAAGCATTATCAGTTTCACTTATGTCATCTTCTTCTCTCGAGTTCTATTTTTGCAACCTTCTGAAATTCTACTTCTTGCCTTGTTTGCTCTTTGGTACTACTACAATGTCCTCAAGAAGAGATTTTGTAATTGAAAGGCGGATGTGCTGAGCTCTTATCAATCAGTTCATGTGCTCATTCATCTATGAACTTGTGGTACAGGCATACATTGTGTCATTTCAGAATATGATGGATGTTCACTATTTCACATGACCCTTATGGGTCTGGCTTGGGGTACCCAAGCCCTCTTGTTTATAGTGGTAGATCTCCATCCAAGTTAGGAATCCTCCCTAATTGACCGGTATTCCTCTCATTTGGGCAATCACCAAAATTGATTCCGTCCTGGTATTTTTCCTACCATAATAGGACTCCTTTCTATTAGGTATTCTTAATGAGCAATTATCTGGATACTTCAAATCGACTCCCGAACATGTTGGGCTGCTCCCAATAAAAACCAATGAAATAACAATTCGCATTGATATTTTCCTTTGGAATGAAATATATCGTAAATCTGCATCTAATCATTGCTCTCGTCTTTGCTGATTATGATGAACAAAACAAGGAGACAAGCACAAATAAATTACTATGACAGAGTCTATCCAAACAAATAAGTATGATAGGAAGTAGAACAGCGGCGGCTAATTGGAGTAAGGTGTCCCCAATGCTGCGGCAGCATTGTGACCATCAAACAGGGGCGGCGGGTCTCAGTGTGACAAGTGCTTTCTTAATCCTCCCAAAAGCCTCTTTTAGAGTCGCGAGGGAAGCGGCGTAAGAGATGCGGATGCAAGTGTCATCCCCAAATGCAACCCCTGGGACCAACACAACCTACACAAGATATAGCATTGACAATCTCAGCATATGAGATGTTAAAGTTTTGGTGAGGGACGACAAAGGAAGTTGGTACGAACACATCTGCAAGAGCTTTTCTTTTTCTCCTGCATCTAGAGGAAGATAAAAACAAGCACTTCAATGATGCATACCTGCGCCAAGTCAAGCAGGTAGCGGCAAAGTGACTCCGAGCCGTCGATTACACCAAAGCCTTTGACCTCAGCTCCATAGTAACAACTGAAGTCGATGAAAATATGGAAGGCTCCCTGCATATAGAAGCATGTGGAATTCGAAATTGCGATGGAAGACCAAATGAGAATCATTAGTTTGTATGCCGGGTCAATCTCTGATTTAGTACCTGAGGTTCTGAAATCTTCACACCCTCCAGTTCCCCAAAGCTTTTAACCAAGAAATCTCGCCGTTCCCTAAAATCTTTTACCATAGTTGCGACAGTTTCACCTCCAGCATAACCCATCGACAGAGCGGCAAATGCAGCCTCCTGAGCTATGCTACTGGCACCTGAAGTAAGCTGCCACAACGCAAAACAAATTCAACCAGTTGGCCAACGCTGATAGATAGTGCCAGACACAAAACTCGGGAAATTGAATCAGAAAGCAATCACTTCAACAGGTTGTTTACACATGCTGGTTTCACCTTAATAACTTGCTTCATCCAATATTTAGTGTACTTCAACATATTGGGCATCAGAAACCAATGCTTTCTCTCCCAGATATAAATTTCTTTCATTGACATAAAATTTCTTCTATACCAAGTTTAATTTCAGTCAACTCTAGGCAACCTCTGTTGAAAGCTTCATCATTTGCGCGATTAGATTTTGACGCTGCACCATACCTGGCTCTGGATCTTTGCACAAGCTGAAACGAAGTGTTTCGAACCAGCAATATAACCAAGCCTCCAGCCAGTCATTGCAAAGGCCTACAGATGTTCCAATATCTTAAAATTAGATATTTTTTAACGAGCATGAGGTAGAATATAGTCTAGCAAAGAAGCAAAACTAGTTGAAAAAGATGAATTTCATGAGATCGAAATTTAGGATGCGAATAGTTATTGAGAAGGAAAGGCTTCCAATTACCTTAGAAAACCCATTGATAGTGAGTGTCCTCTCCCACATGCCTGGCAAAGATGCAAAACTTGTATGCGTAGCTGGGGCATACGTGATGTGTTTATATGTTTCATCAGACAGTACCTGAAAAGTTTGCCATGGAATTTTTCCATAACTTGTCAAGTCAATCTGACATACATAAGGAGCAGGAAAAAAATATTAATTTGCTTCTAGTACCAGAAGCCTGGGATGCTTTGCTACGATTGCAGCGATCTGTTCGAGCAATTTTTTGGGGTAAACAGACCCTGAGGGATTTGACGGAGAACAAAGAATCAGAAGCCTTGATTTCTCAGTAAGCGTGGCTTCAAGAAGCTTATGGTCCATCAAGAAATTCTCAGAGATGCTTGTTGGAACAATTACAGGGGTGGCGTCAGCAAGCCTTGCCATTTCAGGGTAACTCACCCAACAGGGAGCTGGAATTATGACCTGGGACAAGAATCTGGTCCGTAAATACACAAGGGAAAAACACAACCATAATTAGAAGAACAGCACTTAAAGTTCCTCCAAGAAGCATTATGCAAGGAAATGTTATGCAAGTGCGAAAGTACAGGTGTAAGAAAATGAAAAAAATAACGATGCAACAAACTGATTTAACCATAGCCAAGGGTGAAAAAATTGGTTAGAATGATCAACATGATTTAAGGAGAAAGGCTGATGAAATCAATGCACTGGCCAAGACGATAGCAATGGAGAGTTTATAAGGGAAAATAATGGTGGCAAGTCCAAAATTGACAGGCAAAATACAAAGCAAAAAGCCGAGCATTGCAGAAGAATTAGAGTAACAGAATGCATGTACTTTGGATCAAACTAAATGCGTAGCTGCCTAGACTGGATGATTGAAAATGAGGGTTCTGATGCCTAACTGATACAAGATATGTATCCGCCATTTTGCTCTAACTTCACCAGAGAAATTGATAAGATTGAACTTCCACCATATTCAACTATTTAAACTTCATGGTTTACACACCTTTCTCTTACTATGAACATATAGCCATTGCCACTATCCTTTTTCATCACCTTGCATTGCAATTTAAAAAATGGAAGTATAGATTGATTCATTACTTGCAGCACCACAGCAAACGAGATCTACGCCAAGGCCCCAATTGCACATCCTTCTAGAATATAGTTTTCATCGATAAACGAAAACCCAACAACATCACAGAGTTCTCACAGAACTGCAAGGATATTAGAAGTAAACTATGCCAAATCACATGCCTAAAGCATGCAGTAGACTTCCATGTCCGGCCATTCATGACATGCTCAATCATAGGTTGAGATCTAATTATATGTCTTCAAGAGGATGTATAGGTGACAGGAGCGAGACTCAAGACAAAAAGTTTATAATCCACTATGAAAATGACATCATTAGTCCTCAAATTTTAGCAATTGTTCAATTTCATCATTGAAACTTTTTTTTGTCCATTATTGGAACTTTTAATTTGTTCAATGTGGTCCTTAAATTATTCCTAAATGTTCAATCTAGTCCTAAACCTTCAATTTTTTCAATTTAATTCCTCAACTATTAATAACAAAGCCAAATAAGCCATTCAGTAATATTCACACGTTTTCATAATTACAATATTGCTCGAATTTTATGATACCTTTTCATGTCCATCCATTTCCTTAATAAACCAAAAATATGCTATCTTTGTATTACTTTTTTTTACCTTTTTGGTATTTGTGAATATTATAATAGTTTCATTTAATTATATTTTAGTTAATGAACTCTATTATAGTAAAAGTAGAACCTCATCAATATCTCTAAATATTCTCGCTGTTTTAATTTTCAAATTCACAAATTTAACTGAATTTAGTTAAGAGAACAAGAAATACAAAAAACTTGAAAATTTTATCTATCTAAAAAACTAGTTAGGAGATTTACATTAATATAAGCATGAGTATTTATAAATAGTTAATATCATTGTTAGAATTCCTTATGAAAAAACTTTTTACTAAAACAACATGAATGTCAACTTAATATAACATGAGATTAGAGTCTATTTTTACTATCATAAAGATCAAAGTTGAAATATATCTTAATGGAACTAATGTAATATTTAGAAAAACCAAAAAGTACAAGGTTAGTAAAAAGATGGCACATTTTTTTGTTGATATAGGAAATGGATTGAAATGAAAAAAATATTAAAAAATTTGGGTAATAGTGTAATTACATAAACTTGTGAATAGTATGAAAGAATGATTTCACATTGTTGTGTAAAGTTGAGGGATTGGATTGAACAAATTGAAAGTTTACAAACTAGATTGAACATTTAGAAATTGCTCAAAAACCGCATTTGATGAATTAAAAGTCCAAAGATGACATTGCATATTGGGCCAAAGTTTAGAGACTGTTAGTGTTAATTTCACTAATTCAATTACAACATTCAATAACAAAAGTGGGGAATTATTTCTTCAGCCAGATTCATAAATAACTACTATGACTATATAGCCAAGATGTCATCACTCAAAACAACCTCACAGATGCAAAGTCAAGTCACCTATCAGAAGACTTTGCATGAAACAAGATGTGGCTTAAAGCTGCTCTCAACTGTTATTTGACTCCAACAGTTCAAATATATCTATAGATTCCTCTAATAGGCAAAATTGCCACGCTTCAACGTTTATGGCTTTTGGAATTGGAATTAAAACAGGAAATAACAGAACATGTATCATAATCAAAGAAATTTCACTGGCATGATTTTCTTAAGCAGCGGGCACACCTCATCTCCCGGAGAACAGACCGCCAAAACTGCCTGAAGAATGCTCTGTTTGGCACCATTACTAACAACAATCTGATCCGGTGTATATGAGATCCCATTCTCCTCTTACAACAGATATAGAAAGCAAAAATAAGCAAAGCAATAACCAGAAATTGTCATAACTATTGCTTAGGACTTACTGTCAACCCATTGGTCAGCCCTCTCTGATGCTAATGAACTGAGTAACAGAGAAAAACCTTTTAACTTCTGGCAGATCGCTGTGCGGAGTTCCAATGTGCCAGCATTTGGTGTATATCTTGTATAACCTTCCAAAATAGCTTTAATTCCAGCCTTAGGAACAAAAGTGAAAGAAGCTATTATCAATTCTCTCGGTCTTATAGATATCAGATGATGAAGGGACCTGAAAATTTCTTACATCTGCTATGGCAGAAGGTGTATCAAAATCAGGTTCTCCAATTGCTAAGGAAATAACAGGTACACCAGCCTTTAAGAGAGCAGTCGCCTGGTCAATGATAGCCAACGTTTTCGAAGGCTTCACAGCATTCACTCTTGGACTCAGAGTGAGGTCAACGTCCATTTGTCCTGGACCACCTTGTGCTTTCACCATTGGAGTTAGTCTAGGCGACTTGAATTCCTTAGTATTAACTACACCTCTGGCAAGTGACAAGGATCATCAGCAGTGAAACCGAATGACTCAAATACGGCAAGATGAAAGTTTTCAAGAGTAAACGTATATTCATATTTGCAGGAGGAGATCCAGAACCAACCACAATCATACAACACAAGGATCAAATCAACTTCGAAATATAACAGAAGATGATTGCGTTTCTACACAAACCCAGAATCAAAACTAGAAATATCCCAGCGAAAACGACAAGCAAAAGATGAACTAGAGGTACCTGAGGGAGAAATTGGAAGGGAAGGAAACGAACTTAGAGGCACTGCTTGTAATCGAACAGCTAAACCCAAGAGATAGCTGCTTCAGATGAGCACGAGACTGTGAAAAGCCAATGTCAGAGGGAGCACCAGCACTAGCAGCCATGGGAGAATGGTGCGTTCAGCTTGAGCTCGCTGGTGCAGTTGATGGATTTGTGTGCAAATGTGAAGGAAAAGCACCATTTTAATCATATTCGCTCATAAAGAATTTAGAGGAGTTAGTGGGAAAGCGAATCTTAAGTTTTTTACTTATAATTTGCCACCAAATTATTTACTGGATCTTTGCTGAAAATACATCCAATACTTAGTTTAGGTTATCTGTTTACCTGCTGAGCAAGTGATCAGCTTGCTCAGCAGAGGAGCTGACTTTGCAGACTATGAAATTGGGGGACTACTGTTTTGAGTTCTCAACCTTTTCAAGCGGTGGCATATTTTGAAATTATGTTTATGGATATGCACGTTTGTTTTTGTTGGGCATTGTGAAAAGTTGGGGCCCGAGGTGTTTCAGCTAATTATTTATTCATGGGATGGGCAAGCACTTAACTTCTTTTTTTCCAAGTAAAATGCATATCACAACTAGGAACCCGGCTAACCGTTCCGTCATTCCCAGAAGATTACAGTGAGCTCTTGGGCACAAGCACTCTTTTGCAGGTAATTTGAAAATGGCAAGTCCATGAATGTGCTGGGCGTCCATCGAGAAGTAGACTTGGAAAAATGTTCTATTCAAAGAAGGTTGCAAAGAATCTCCAAACAAAATTAATTAAAAAGATGATATGATAAAGTTTTAGATTGCATTTGGTTGTAGAATAGTAATAGGATATGATAAAATAGGATCAAGAATGCGGGGAATTGTTATCACTTATTTTTTGTTAGGTAAAACATTGAATATCATGTCAGATATAACTATAGAAATAAATAAAAATTATAAATCAAAAAGCTACTTAATATCATTAAAAGAAAAAGAACTAGAAATAAAAAACATAGGGAGGGAATTGTGGGTGGCTGAACAGAGCCAGCTACTATTGTCGTGATGGTTGGCTCGATGATGGTGGTTGCTCGTCTGCAGCGACCATCGTCGTGGTGGTCACATTTGTCGCGATGGTTGCAGGCCACAACTACTACTATGGGATTATATTAATGCTCCCCATCGAATGTAAGTCGCTCCCTTACATTTCCTTGATTCAACTCGGTTATTATACAATGGGCATAAATGTTATTTTGTGTCAGCCAGCTGGAGTGCCAGGTTTCGAACTATTGACTTGTGATATGATGCTATGTTAGAATTTCTAACCCTTAAGCCTAGCAGAGGAGACTATGTGTATATAAGACACATTATCACACACATTTAAGTAATGTGGAATCATACTCCGACCCTATCAATTTGCAGTCATAGATTTATGCTTGAAGGACGAGTGTGTGGCTATATTTGCCAACTAGACTCTAAGATGTACCTTAATTTCTGGTTTTTTTTATTTGTTTTGGAGCTTTATGGATTGCCTTGTTATAAGATCGCGCATTGAAAGCTATAAAAAAAAATCAATTACTCTCTCAACAAATGACTAGGATGACTCTTCTATGGGTGACTCTAAAATTTCTTGCTTTTTTTTTTCTATAGGACTTTTGAGATCAACATGCACTATCCTTGAATCAAGAGAAAAGTGTTAGAAAAGTCATAAATCTATTGTATTGGTGCCAATTTAGTTTTAAATTTTTTAAAGATGACAATTTAATCTTAAATCTTTTGACCTTGTGTCAATTCAATCTTTCCGGCCAAAATATTGCCGATAGGAATGTTGGCCGACTTACGTGGTATCGTCGGCGCTGACGTGGACAATTTTTAATAATATTTTAATAATTTTTCAATTTATTATTATTATTTATTTCTTCTTCTTTCTTCTTACTTTTTCCTGTGATCAGTGCTAGTCATAGATGATGGATGCGCGAGCTGGCCTTGATGAGGGTCAGCCTCCCCAAATTTGGCCTAGCTAGGTCAACCCTTGCTAAGCCTCACCTAGGCGAGGGCGAGCCCCGGTGAGGTTGCCCTAGCTTGGGTGAGGGCTGGCCTCACTAGATTTGGCGAGGAGAGCCTTCGCTAGGGCTTCCCTTCGCTGACGCTACCCTCGCCCAGTCAATGGTCAGCCTCACCCAAGCCAAATCTGGCGAGGCCAACCCTCGCCGGGGCTCAGCCTCACTATGGCCAAGCAAGGCCAACCCGCCCAACTATGGCCGGTGACAAGTCACCGGTAAAAGGAAGAAGAAAGGAGAGGAAAAAAGAAACAAAAAATCAAAAAAATAATTAAAATATTATTAAAAATTATTCATGTCAGCACCGACGATGCCACATAAGCTAACTAGCGTCCACATCAGCAATATCAAGCCAAAATTAGCCAAAATGACTAAATTGACACTAAGTCAAAAGGTTTATGACTAAATTGGCACAATTAAAAGGTTTATGACTAAATTGTTACCAATGCAATAGACTTGAGACTTTTTTGACATTTCCCCTTGGATCAAAGGTAAGTCTCTCTTTAGACTTGAGTAAGTCCTTAAACTGCTTTGTCTGAACTTTGGAACGTAAAATACAGAGGTATTCCCACCTTGTCGGGGAAAAAAATATACAACTTGGAACAAGGGGTGCGAGGCGAGTGGGTACCGATACGTTAAAATAAATAACGTAACCAGGCTGGGCGCCCTTACTTGAGGGACTACCGTTGGTAGCTCTCGTAGGTGCAAACACTCCTGGAGAAGGATAGGCCGGTGAAGACGACTCCAACTTCGATTAATTGTGAGCCCATGACCCTCTAACAAGCCTCAAGTTGGAAACTAAATTGACACTAGTTCACAATGTTTATGATTAAATTGACATAATTAAAAGGTTTAGGACTAAATTGTCTCAAATGCAATAGGTTTAGGGCTTTTCTAATACTTTTCTCCTTGGATCAATGGTAAGTCTCCATAATCTCAAGGAGGATCTTCGCTCCTGCCACTGAATAAGTCTGAAGGAATGTCTCAGGACGGATTTGACACAGCATTGCAAGCACGAGATGGAAGCAACATCGCCTTCGGGGCCTCAAAGATTTTCTCAAATCCCACTGGTGGGAGCAAAAATTAACCTAGGAATGGCTTCCACCCGTCACCCATTTGCAGACAATTCTTCTTCGCTCACCCAAAGCCCAATGCGAAGGAAAAGATATCACAGTTGAATGAATCATCAGGATTCTCTAGTACAAACTAGAGGTGATCAGTTTCAAGGTGGGCAAATTTCAAACTAGGAAAATGGAACCTACTCTTTTAGAACCGGTGCCCAATTTTTGGAACTTGAAATCTGCCTTGTTTGTCCTGGAACAAATCTTGGAACCTATTCTGTTTTTCTAGTTCGGTTTTAAAGTCTATATAATAACTTGTTTTCTTTTATTCCTTTTTTTGTTTTATTTTTTACAGCAAAATATATGAGTAACAAAACAGTTCAAAGTAAAAAATGAATGTGGGCGAACAAGTGAAGGCGAATCAGGAGGGGTGCAAGGCTCGAACGAGTGAGGGCAAGCCACAAGCGAGCGAGTTGCGAGTGAGAGAGAGAGCGTGTCTGGATAAAGTTAGAGAGAATGGAGAAAAAGAGGGAGATAGAAAAAACAAAAGATGCCAAAAGAAACTAGGCTTTATAGGCTTTATGTAACTAATTCTAAATTCGGTCCAGTCAGTCCGGTTTCCAAACGGTTCTTTACTCAAAATCGGAAATCAGACCGGTCCAATCCGATTCTCAAATAGAACTGATCCAATTGCTCAGCTCTAGTACAAACTGCTCTAATGCAGCTGTTTGGTTGCTCTGACCGATTAAAACGCTAATGACAGTGGATGGCACGACTCCTGAAGCAGGGGAGACAACGGCGACTGCATGACCTTGAACGGAGGTTCTTTCAAGAGGATGACTTCGCGTCGTCCGAAGGGTTTTGAACCGCCCGAGTCTCCTCATTTTTTCAAGTTCGTACTCTCCTCCGATACCCTTCAGAGCGGAAAGCTTGTGAGCATGCCCTCCCTCCCTCTCTCTCTCTCTCTCTCTCTTCTCTCTCTCTCTCTCTCCAAGTGATTCTTGATTTTCTTTTTATTCTTCTTTGCCCACCAGCTGCTCGATGTATTTCTTGACTGTGAAGGGTCCTCCTTACTGGCTAATTGTGTGACTGAGTTGACAGTTGTATGTGACCAAGTGAGCAAAATACATCCATGCAAGGTGTTTCACTTGCAGGAAAACTGTTCTGTTTTTCAGTGTAGTCTCTGGACTAGTCCTTGGATTGAAACCCGCATGACTTCGACCCATTAGAATATGTTCCTGAGTTTTTTTCTTTTTCCTAATTATGTTGAATTTCGTTCAGGAAATGACATTAATTTACCAGAACCAATGTTCAACTGAGAAGAAGTTTCTTGTGAAGGAGAATAGAATTCATGCTATTGCTTGCTCATATGCGAATCATATACTGAAGCTTCTTCTATGTGATTTTGAATTTGAGCAAAATGTAGGGCCGGTAATTCTTTTGCCCCCTTAGAGTAATACTGGTATCCAAGCCCGCAGTGTGACTAATTCCCCGGATGCAGGCAACCCAAGTTACTCTAATTGGGTGGTGTAGGTACTTCTTATCACAAGCTCATTCCCTTGTGTCACACTGAGAATTACTGAACACGGTAATTGCATTTGCATGTTGCATACAAAAAGTTGCTGATGGAGTCGTAGATATTTTTGCGGGGAGCCTGAAAAGAAGTTGTAAAACTTACTTGTTCACTACCTGAATCCAAAAATTTCTGGTGACAGTGTTAACTAAGGTTGTGGTTCACTATGTTATTGAGTCTACTTGTTTTGAGCAAGAACCTTAATATCATAAATTTAAGTGAAAAAATGATTGAACTATTTATTGAATCTGCTTTTTTTTCTTTTGCTCAATAGGAGATACCAAAGAGGTTTCTGCAGAGACATGGTAGTGACCTCCCTGGTTCAGTGTTTCTCAAGGTCCCGAGCAGCACAACAGTTTGGCCAGTGGAGTTGGAGTGGAGTGGTGGCAAGGCTCGGCTTGGCCAAGGTTGGCAGAAGTTCACAGACTATTACTCCATTGGTTTTGGCCAATTCCTAGTTTTCAGATACGAACCGAGCTCTGTCTTCCATGTCATGATCTTTGACATGAGCGCTTCAGAGATTGAATATCCCACCGATCCTGTGATTATGGACAAAACAGAACCAGAATGTGAACTTCCTCTGCTCAAGAAGGAAGAAACTGATGATATCTCGGCCAAAATCTCGGAGGATTGTCAGCCTAGCCCAAAAATTAGGAAAAAATCAAAGTCAGGATTGGCTTCGGCTTCTCGAAAGGTGAACTCTGGTATGGGTAGTGAAAATGATGATTATTCCTACGGACACCAATTTCCTAGTAACATTTGAGTCAGTTCATTGGCTCATATCCTTTCTGAATTGTATCATCTAATTTTGGATTTTAAGATGAAATATTTTTCCTTTTATTAACTATCTACAGGCATGATCAGAAAGTGTGCAAGCAGAGCAAGCCCTGCTACGCCGGTTGCTCGTAGATGTTATGTGCCATGTCCTGCTGCTCTTGAAATGGCACAAGATTTCAAATCGAAGCATCCCATGTTCATACTCGTGGTGTACCCTTGTTATCTTAAAAATTCTTGTGCGGTGAGATTCTCGGTGACCTAGTTTCATCATTGACATCTGTGTAACTCTGAGACCGCGTTGTTTCCTCAGTTCATGAAAACATTGGAGAGTACATGTTTTGGGTTATTATTTTTCCTTATCCTCCTACTTAGAATGTTTATGTTTTGACATGATCATGGAACCAATTTACTTTGAGAAGGCTAATATCGAATATCGGTTTATAAAACTCTTATGCAGAATGTACCAGTGAAATTTATGCGGACTCATATCAAGGGAAGCATGCAGGTCGTGACACTTAAGCACAAGAAGGATTTGTGGCCGGTGAAGTTGATCAAGTTTCCGAGGGACCGAGGAAAGTTATCTCAAGGTTGGATCGCGTTCGCAAGAGCAACTCTGTGTGAAGGGGATGTCTGTGTGTTCGAACTGACTAAGCAAAGTCCCACCGTGCTTGAAGTCTCCATTTTCAGGAGTTCTGATTACACTTAGAAGTGGTTTATTGCCACCATTATGCTTGGCATCATTTTGGAGAATGATATCAGTAGTGTAATCAACTAGACATACAATGTTACCAAGTTTTTTTTCCTTGTTTTTTTGTCTCTTTTTGACGACCGATGGATCTGTAAATTGAAATGTCCTAAGAACTGGGCTTTAGCGATGGTGAATGAAAGTGACTGTAAAATTTTCTAATGTGCTTTGGAACTGTGCTATGGTGATGGTGAATGAAATTGATTGTAAAGTTTCTAATTACTCTATCTTCTTCAGTTGTACATTGTTTTTCTCTCTTCAATGGATGATTAGGGCAACAAAGGGCAAAGATTTGGCGGCTAGACTCCTTAAGGTTTCCTTTCTAGCAACCATTTATGGCATATGGATGGAGTGCAACCGAAGACGGTTTCAAAACAAGTCAACTGATGTCCATATTATTTTGGCCAACGTGCGTAAAAATGTAAGAGGTAGAGCTTCACTCTACCAAAACATTAGACCTTCTCAGACAAATGTTGTATTGGCTACTATGTGGAGACTTCCTACCTCCATCTTCTCGAACTATTTGCACCATTTGTAATGCTGGGGATACCCCTAAGCTGTTGTACTTCACTCGATTTATAATACCGACATTTTATACCAAAAAAAGAAAAATATTGGAATAGAGTATGAAGTATAGTGCCTTTGGATACAACGCTCCTACCATATTAAGATCGTGCATTGAAAACTAAAAAAAAAATTTCAATTAACCTCTCAACAAATGACTAGGATGACTCTTCAATGGGAAACTTTAAATTTTTTTGCTTCATTTTTTTATAAGACTCTTGAGATCAACATACACTATCCTTGTATCAATGGTAAGTCTCCACAATCTCAAGGAGGAATTTCACTCTTGCCACTAAATAAAAGAAAAATAGGTTCTTAGATAGACCTTGAAATCGAATCGAAAAAACAGAATAGGATCAAAGATTGATTTCAGTGCAAGCAAAGTAAATTTCAGGTTCCAAAAACTGGGAACCGGTCTATGAGGGTAGGTTACAGTTTCTTAGTCTGAAACTTACCTATTTCGAAACCAATCACCTCTTGTTTGTACTAGAGAGTCTTGCTCATTCATTCAACTGTGAATGTGAACTGTGTAAGATAAATTTGTGGAAAACCATGATCCCAATAATCGGGATCGAATGCGGAAACGTGTAGCATTGTGTACTAACCTCCAACCATTAATGAAAACGAGAATAGATGCGCAAAGCTTGAACGATCGAGAATAGGCACTTCTAGCCAATTGCCCTCTCTACATTGATGGTGTGTTCTCCGATTCACAGATAATCAGAATAATCGGATATATCAGAATACCGTGAGGGTTTGGCTTAGATAACTTATTTATATTCAAATGCCCATATAAATTCTAGTAGATATAGTATTCCATCAAGACTAGTTCTAGTATATGGGCAATTTCCATAGTTATCAACAATTAGATTTAGATAATAAATATTCTAATGTGGGCAATTTTAAACTGAATGTGGGATCACATTAAAATTATTATAACAAACCGAACCCGGTCATTCGGGTGATATCTTTTCCTTTGCATTGGGCTCTCGGTGAGACATGAAGAATTATGTGCAAATGGGTGACGGGTGGAGGCCATTCCTAGGTTAGCTTTGCTCCTGCCAGTGGGTCTTGAGATTTTTCGAGGCCCCAGAGGGGATGCTCTAGTGCCGATGTTGCTTCCATCTCGTGCTTACAATGCTAAATTCGAATCCGTCCTCAAACGTTTCTTCAGACTTATTCAGTGGCAGGAGTGAAGATCCTCCTTGAGATTGTGGAGACTTACCATTGATACGATGACAGTGAATGTCGATCTCAAAATGATGAAAAAGTCGAAATCAGCATCAGCTTCGGCTTCTCAAAAGGCGAAAGCTGGTACGTTTGGTGAAGATGATTATTCGTATGAACACTGATTTCCTAGTAATATTTGAGACAGTTCATTGGCTCATATATCTCTAGGCGGCATGAAATTTTTTTCCTGTGTTTGCCATTGAACTTAAAGTGTTACACACGTCTATCTCATAAAATACTTGAAGGTTAGTGCCATAATTCTTCCCAAACTGTTTTCTTTTCTTACCATCATTCTGTCTACCAACGGGATTAATTTGAACAATGCTAAATATATTCAAATTGATATACTAATAGGATTCGGAATTTTAAATGGACCCACTAATTTAAATAATCACATGCTTTTTCGCATCATTTAGTAAAGCCATTAGCATGAGAGTCTATCTCTAGTATCACTCCATGATTATATCAGTTTCTTGGAAGGTACACAAAATCAGAAGCTTGGACCTAAGCAGGTCCTTAAAAGGCTCAAGCGAGAAGAATCAGGTAGGAGATCTGTCATGGGGTGAGAGATTTTGCAATGTTACCTTCCGTATTTCCTCCTAGATGGGGAAGAAAAAGATCCACCTAGGAACGTGTTGAGTAGGTCACTACCAATTGGAGAGACCAACGCAATTGTATATATCTATAGTAGAATATGTGTAGTGGTGAGTGTGTAAAAAGAAAAAGAAAAAAAAAAGGGAGGAGGAAACTAAATCAAGAGAGATCGGAAGATAATCAACATGATCTTCCACATCCAGAAAATCAAGGGAGATTGGGAAACAAATCTAAGTCATCTTCCCACATCTAGAAAATCACGAGAGATTAGGAGATAAATCAACGTGATTTTCATATCGTACAAGTCCAATTGGGGATTGCATTTGCTCCTATAAATAGGAGTCCTCAACGGAGAAGAATACACAAAAAGCAAGGCAGTGTAGCATAGCGGAAGAAAGAGTCTTCTTCTTCCAAGAGAGCTATCTTTGAGTGAGTTATCCAGTTTGTGAGAGGTTCAGATCCACAAATTGAAGACAGTGAGAGATCCACCATAGGGTGAAGTTGTATCCCATTATTTATCATGGTGGAAGTTTGAAGTGGACTACGGTCCCGTGGTTTTTCCCTTCGCCTTGAAGGGTTTTCCACGTTAAAATTCTAGTGTTATTTACTATTCATCTTTATTGCTTTTATCCGATATTTTATTCTATTTAATTTTCACAGAAATAGTAGTGGCAAAATTATCCGACCTTCTCCACAAATATTGTTCTTTTTCCCAACAGAACGGAGGGGGTACTTCAGTGGTGAAGGTAGATACACATCAATACTACGGTACTTGCTATTGTCGGGTAGAATGGTGTAGCAGCCTTCCGCGCTTGGAGTGAGGAGGTGGTTCCTGCTAAGGAACTTGCTAGGTTGACAAGAGCTTTGCATAGTGTCTTGTAATCGACTTGTCAACCTAATACCCATTGGTTACAACATACTGTGTGAATGGGAGTCTTGGTATCTCCAGTATCACTCCATGATTTTATCAGTTTCTTGGAAGGTACACAAAATCAGAAGCCAGCTACTCATAGTGATAAAAAAAAATTTTCTTGATTGGACAAATCAAAAGAGATAAGAGGACTTAATTGGCATAGAAATAAATTTCAAAGGTCGAATCGTTTAAACAGTGAAACTTAGAGGACCAAAACTGTGTGATCAGCATTCGTCCATTAGTAAGTATCCGCGCGTGACGCACAATTTTTAGATGTAATCTTCTTATTGGAATCAGATATCTGGAATCAAATACACCTTCCTGTTCAAATAAGTTCTGCTGATAAACCATAATAGGAGCGAAGGGAAAATTCCAAAAAATGGCTCGAAGTACCCTAATTTTCTCAAATAAGGGCATGAAATGGACCTTATTTCAAGTAAGGGCCTGAAGTGGCCATAGTTGTTTCAAATAAGGGCCTAAAGTGGCCATGGTTATTTCAAATAAGGGCCTTACTTTGCCGGTCACCGGTCGGCTAAATTTTCCAACCGATCAAGGGCATTTTCGTCATTTCTCCTTCCTTTTTTGTTTCTGGTTCTTCTTCCTTGTTGTTGGTGGCTGGCGGCCGGCCACCGGTGATGTTCGCAAAGGGCTGGGTGAGGGTCGCCCTCACCCAATCTGGCGAGGCCACCCTTACTAGCCATAGGCAGGTGATGTGCAAAGCTTGAGCGATGGGGTCCAGGCGAAGATTCAGATGGATGCGGATGGCCCTCGCCGGCAGCAGGCGAGGGGCATCAAGCCCTCCCTGGCCGCTGGCGAGGCCACCCTCGCTAGATTTGGCAAGGGCTGACCCTTGCTGGTGGTCGCGAGGAGTGGCCTGACCCGGCTTACCTAATGGAGGCCGTCCCTCGCCTGTGGCCGGCGAGGGTGGCCCTCGCCGGATCGGGCAAGGGCGAACCTCGCCCAGCCCTCTGTGGGCATCACTGGTGGCCGGCTGGCCGACCCCAGCAACAAGGAAGAAGAACTAGAAAAAAAAAAAGAAAAAAAGGAGAAATGACGAAAACGCCCTTGACTGCTAAAAAGTCCGGCCCTTATTTGAAACAGACATAGCCACTTTAGACCCTTATTTGAAACAAACATAACTACTTCAGGCCCTTATTTGAAACAAGATGAACTTTAGGCCCTTATTTGAAAAAGTGATGGTACTTCATGTACTTATTTGAAACAAGGTCCACTTCGGGCCATTATTTGAGAAAATCAGGGCACTTCGGGCCCTTTTTTGAAAATTTCCCCAAGAGCGAATGAAGAAGAGAGAGTGATTAGAAACTTTAGAACCACTTTCATTGGCCAAAAGCACGGTAATTAACAACTACAATGGCTGATTCGACGTCAACAAAGTGCAAAAGGAGAATCAAAACTTCATAAGATTACACTTCTAGCTAATAATACATCTGTACTACTATCATTCTCCAAAAGATCATGCGAATCAGAATACTGGTTGTTGCACTTTTTTTAGTGTAATCAGAACCCCTGCAAATAGAGACTTCGGTCACAGCAACGGTTTCTCTCAACCAGTTCGAACACGTGAGCGTCTCCTTCTCCCGGAAAAGTTTGCTTTGCGAACACGGACCGACCTTCAGATAATTTCCCAGAGCAGCAGTTCTCTGAATGCTTGAATAACTTCACTGACCGTGATCTTTTCATATACTTAAGCGTCACAAACTATGAGCTTTTCTAGATATGACTCCCCATAAATCTGGCAGGTACATTCTATAGTTAAGTTTGAGGAACCAAGATCAGCCGTAACAAAATGAATTGAGGGCATGGACACGACATGGCAAATATTCTTAGGAGGAAGCATGGGTAAACAATTCAAACCTAAAAACATGTACTTTCGAAGTTTTTCATGTGCAGT